ACATAAAGAATGACTGTTTTTTCCTAGTTCCCTATCAGGCTTATTCATTTGCCTCCTCAGATGAAACTACGAGGAGCAGTCGAAAGATTCGTGGATAAAGTGCTCCGGGCTATACTTGCTGTTGAAGGCAGTGGGCAGGATGGCTATGGGCGGGGGTAGCTGCCAACGTAATAGGTGGAAGATAGCGACAGGGCGTCTGGCCACACCCCACTCCTCCCCTTCACCAATGACTTTCTCAACACCGCGCTCCGAGCCATTGCGCCCACTACCTTTACGCAACAGATGAAAAGTCGTTGGGATTTCGAAACAGTGGTCCAGATGAAAGAGCACACAAAGGACGAGTCGACTGACACTCACGGAAAGGGGTTGCCACTTGAGCCACCTGAGCCCTAGCCCAGTATTTTACAACCTTTTGATGCGAATGAGGTACAGAGTCCCTTTCTGCAGCCCAACCTTCTTCTCTTACACAGCATTGATTCGTATAGGTACTAGCGAAACATGTATGTAATCGTGGAGGCAATGAGTGATACTGTGCAAGGAAGCTATCCAGAGCTCACTCAGTCAGCTTGAAGCTAGTATCAGTGAGACAGTGTTTCCAAATCACGGGCACAGAGCACACTGAAAAATTGGTGCTAACGGACGCTCCAATGCGCCTATCATCCTCGCTGACATCTCTGATATGAAGACTGAATCAAGGCAGGAGGCGCTTCACTGGTAGCGTGTCTTCAGCCACTAGACTGTTCACTAACTTTACATCGTATGAATTATATGGCGATCTCAATAGCGAATCGTTGTAGGTGGCCTTACTCTGTAGGTAATCAGTTTTGATAAGTCTGGGGTATACCCATGAGAAAGAGATTTATGGGACACAACGAAGGTCTATGACTAGAATTGTTTCCTCCACATTGAATCAATATGGAAGGTAAAGTGAACGCTAAAGCCAATGAAAATGTCGATTAGTTGAAAGAGAGAAGGCCACTGGGCAGGCACAGTGAGGGGGCGGGCATTTTGCACTTTTGCCCCTTTCTATCGACGTGTCGAGCCATCTAGAATCCTGTTTCATGAGCTTACACAGCTGGCAGGTTTCGGCATGGAGACTCGACAAGCCTGCTCCAGCTTCACAAGAGTTCACAGGTTTCACCAGAGTGAGACTTGTAAATCGAAACTAGTGAAAAAACGGATGTGCAAAATGCCCCTTCGTCGCCAAACTGCGTCGGCTACTGTAGCGGTACTTGAAACATTCTCTGCAGTGAACTCTCGTAAACCCACTTTCACAGTATACAATATTTCACAAATAGTTTATTAACTACCATTTCACCTCGTAAAGAACTTAATGTACATTTAGTTTGATAATTAAGACTGTGACATAAAGTCATTCTTCTATTCTAACAACGTTTCTCTTCGTGAACAGGGCTCTCGAAAAGATATCGCATATCTTTCTTCATCACTTTCCATCGGTACTTTTTGCCTAAAGCTCCTTGTATGCGTAGATGAATAAGGCAAAAAGCACAAGTACAAAAAAGTGTCTCAAGTAGAATCTAAAACAGGGCCAAGTAAATAACGCGGACTCCACAACGAAAAAAGAGAATGAAGGAGGTGGAGGAGGTGCAAGCATGCTCAAGTATGCTTACTCAACAGACTTGGATTACTTTGTTGGTTCATAAGAGAGAATGAATGTGAAGCGCAAATTTCAAGTCGCCGCATCGCGATAGTCAACGCACAGCTCCGTAGCCATATCGAGTGAATTCGGTCCCAGTGCGGATGCTGCGTGCATCATCCCGCTTGCAGGGCCTATTTCACTGCTACTGAGAAGTAAGGCTTTATTAGAAAAGAGGTCTCTCACAAATACGAGTGAGAGCTGGGCCTTAGTCTGCAGGTATTACGATGACGCTATCTTCGTGTTCTGAAGCTGAATGAGGAGCACTTCCTCTCCTGCAAGTGGCATCTCGTTGGTGAAACCGTTGGTGTTACCGAGCCCCTTTAAGTCGCCACGCGGGAATGGCGAATGAGGGTCGAGTGCGATTCGGTCTAGACAAGGAGCGAGTCATTTATGTACAAATCAACTGATCCCGGAGAGATAGTAAGTTTACGTGGTTCCGTATGGTGCAGATGCAGATTAACTCCCGGACCATGTATGGGCTTGTGTGCTGTAAAATAAAGCAGCGGCAATGGAATTGTGCAACAGAACAGCTCGAAGCCACAGAACAGTGATTATTCGATTATGAGCACACCAGCTGATCGCACGATATTCTTCAATATGCCCGTAAATGAATACGATCCCAAATCGAGGTCGAGCGAAACATAGATCAGTGTCAAAGGCAGTTGGCACGATAAATCCCCAAGACGACTAGGATCAATACTCCTGGCAGGATAGAATTCCGCGACCCTGGGCAGGCGCTGCATAGCGGTTTCCCCGAGGAAGGTGCCCTTATAAGGGCCCTATCAAGCCACAACATTACGTCCCAAACGCCCGCCACCCCCGCCCACAAATGGACGACCGTTCCTGACGCTCGTATGGTGGAAGGAATTGAGGAATTGGTATGAAGCGGCCGTGATGCTGCATGCATATATGGGTACATATGCAGCCATCTTCGGTAGCGGTGATTGGTAAGATGCCTACGGGAAACTCGTCCGAAATCGATTTTCAAGTCACTGAGAACGGAGGCTTTTTCTTCGCAGGATTTTGACCGTTTCACTCCGTTCTTTCGCCATTTCCCCACTATACAGCGCCCTACTAGCATTTTAGGCTAAGTAGGAAACCATCGTGCCAACTGCCTTCAAACTAAGGTCCGCTGTTTCAAATTCAACTAGTCACTGAGTGGAAGCGAATTTTCTAGCTGGCTAACCAAATTTTCCGGCACATTTCGTCGACATGGTTATCGTGTATCTAGGAGAATTAGCACTATTCACCCTTTATTGCCGGTTGTTCGAAAATTAGGTATGTTCGATCAGAAATTCTCACTGGCTAAAATGCCGTGTGAAGAGATAGGTCGGTAACCCGAACATCACATCGTGTCCACTTGGCGCTACTGCTAGCGCCGACGCAAGTACTAGCGTGTGGCATCAGTACCTGAGAAGCGAGCTTCGACGTTCTCGCTTCCAAAACAAGCTGCACACTCACCTTCGTGGGTAGTAGTACTTGCTATGTGCGAGTGAGTGGGCCCGAAGCTGCAATGGCGTGCCATTTTCTCCAGTCAAAGTGAACGGGAGTGGGGTTGGAGAGTGGTGATGCCCAGATGCAATCCCCATACTCCGCCCAGCTGCGGACAGCCATAACCCTAACCATAGATAAACGGGTCATTTGTCGGCTAATCCACTTCTAATTGTCGGCTGAACCATGTACTAATTGTTCTCAGGCTGAGAGTCGTTTCGCTGGGAGGCTTAGGTATTGATGCAAACGCTCCACATTCAGGACAGTATGGAGACAGCATTCGGGTGTCACAACCCTCCTACCCATTCCCGTGACTTTCGACTGGAGAAAGGCACATTACTGCAGTTGATCGCCTAACAACTCGTACACGGAGGAGACCGTCTTTTGGGAGTTCAGTGACTGCCATGTCTTTCAAGCCGACTGCAGTCACTGCTTGCGTTTATGAAAACAATATGCACTTGTGGCTGAATCCGTCACCATTAAATTTGCGGATAAGCGACAATTTGCCCCAACCAAAATAAAAGCCTAACCATTGACACACTCTGACCAGTTAGACCATGGCGCCATAGCAATCGTAAGCGGTTTGCAGTCCGTTTGTTCATAAATTATTCCGGCGCACATCGAAAAAGGTCACTGAGGTACATGCGTGCAAGTCGAAAAAAAGGCAGACGTTCAGTTATCAAACCTGTCTTCGAATTATGGGCAACAAATTGGAACAAATCGGTTTCCATTCGATTGAAGTTTGTTGTGCAACTGCTTTTTGAACTGTAAGCTCAAGATGAGCCACATAATATTCTGAAAAACCTAAAAGCACTCTACTGAACAACTTCACCCCCTCATCACTAGGTTGATGTTCGCTTCTCTGAAAAGGTTTCGAGAGGAGGATTCCTATTACTGCTCACCTATGAATGCCACTATCATGCATATAATTATGACAATGACGCTAATCCAGCATAGCCAATCTGAGAGATATCGAAGGCGTTTGGTCCGCTTTTTGATCCGATGTTGCAACTCTTGAATGTCAACGATTTCACATTTTGCCTAAACAGTCAAATTCCAATTAGGGCTCTTCCTGCCGCTGGGGAAAAATTTCCAGCAAGTGTGACCCTCATTACCTCCCTCCTCTGATACGAGCCCGCTCCCCTTCCCGGTCTCACCTACCGTTTTCCTGACCACTTCTTGCACACTTTCCGGGATTTCTCGGGATAACCTTGTTTTTTTTCCAACTCTTTGCTGTCGCCGCTGAAACAAAAAAAATCAAACTAACAAAAAAATTTCCTCAGACGACTACGGGAGCAAAAGTCCTGGCTGATTAGCTACAGGTTTTTGACATTGCAGTTGTGAGTCTCCCCTGTTTTTTTTTCTGTTGCCCTACTATGGATAGACCGCTAGGTGCGGGAGCGTGTCTGTTGTTTGTTTTTTTTTCTTTGTCACGAAGTTCGCTGAACAGATACGTACTTGTGCGACGTCGCTCAACCGTGGTGGCTCAAGCTCCCTAACTGGGATTCTCTTCGATTCTTTCTTTCGTAAACCAACGAACTTCTTCTTCCTCCTTGGCGACCGCTTCAGCTCTATGGAAAATACAAGCACAATATTCCTGATGTCAAATTTTTCTATACGTCGCTTCTGTGTACGACCGAATAATAATTCGCCCTGTTCGAGAGTAATGCAAGAGCTCAGAAACGTTTTATCGACAGTGGTACGGTGAAGATGCTATGCTTGATACGTATTGGGGGTGTCCGGAAAGTTTTCAGAAAATTCGCCTCATTTTATTCAACACATATTAACAACAAGAAAAGCGAAAAATCAGTAATCAAGATAGTGGCCCTTCTTAGCCACGACGTCTCTCTACCGACTGGGCTAGGCATCGATATCTTCCTTCCAGAAGGAAGCAGGAGGGACGCAATCCATTCATCGACCATACGCTTGACATCCTGATGGTTGTTGAACATCTTACCCGTAGCGTAAGCCTGGAGACTCCTGAAAGCATGGCAGTCACAAGGGCTAAGGTCAGGTGAATACGGAGCATGGGGCAGCCATTCGATTCCTAAATTCTCCAGCTCGTCCCTTGTCGCCTTCGCATGATGTGGCCGGGCGTTGTCCATGTCGATGTGAAATTTGCCCCGGTACTGATGTGAAACTGGAGCTCTGGACACCAGCTCTCGTAGTTGCTCAAAGAATATCGATGATGTTTCAGTAGTACCCTCATGACGAATCTCATAATAAATGCAGCCGGTGGAGCAGAAGAAAAACGAGAGCAAGTCCTTCTTGGCGTGGCATCCTCGCTTTGGAACGGGCTCTGGCTTTTGGTCCAACGGCAACCACTCCAGTTTCCTATCCGGGTTTTCGTACGAGATCCACTTTTCATTCTGAGCAGTTATGAAACTCGCTCAAGTCGTCGTTCGTTCTCGATCGAAGAGCTTCTGGCATAGATCGACCCTCACCGCACGTTCCCTTGCGGTAAGAGACCGCGGAATAGTTCCGGGCAAAGCCGCGCGGAAGCCGTTCCTTTTCAAAATGCCGTGAATAGTGGATCGAGAAGTAGAAGTCGTCCTCTCCAACTCCCTCAAACTTTGGGCAGGATTGGTCCTCACAGAAGCCAGAACGATGTCAGTGTTGGAAGAGGGAGGGCGTCCGCATCGAGGTGCTTCATCGAGGCTAAACTCTCCCATTGCGAAGCGATCGTACCACCTGTAGCAGGTTGCAAGAAAGGGTGCATTGCCACCCATCGACGACAGCGACTCATTCCTCGCTTGAGTGGCGGAGCGGCCGGAACGGTAAAGATGAAGTAGGATGCGTCGACTGTAGTGTCTGTCGCATATTATTCGATTGGTTACAACAAAGGCTAATTTGATCTACAGACAATCCTCTATCTTCCCATGTTTTGATCTACAGATTTGCTCATGGCCTTCGCGCGCTACGCTTTTTCAAAGTGAGGCAGCGAAATTTTCTCAAAACTTTCCGGACACCCTAATAATTGATAGTTACAGCTGAACGCACTCTTCAGCTTTTCTTCTGGGACCCAGACATTGTGTCGGTCGCGCCATCCACATTGCGGCACCAAGGGGAAAGCGGCGTTGAAAGTGGTGTCTTACGCGAGTCATATCATGTATAAGCTACATCCATGATTATCATTGTGTGAATGACTTGTATTTCATGGCGTTCCTTTTCTCTTCTTTTTCCTCCTCCTTCTTTTGCTGATCTCCTCAGCATCCTTATTGGGGAGCAACACCTATGGTCGTGATTCCCGCAAACGATAGGGCGTCTGAAAGCGGATGGATTGG